CTTCCTCCCCACAGACTTCTAGATATTTCCTCTTTTTCTGAATCAGGAAATGTTCCACCTTTATTTTTCATTTAATCTTTCCTTGAGTTCCGCATATAATAATTGTTTAATGGCTCAAAACTCTTTTCCTATTTTTCTCTCTCTTGTCTTTTAATGGCTGGGGAAGAAGAGTTTTCTGGTATTCTGGAGGAAAGGGAAAAGACTTGTACCAGATGTTCCAGATTTGCTTTCCTTTTTAAAGCTGCTTCTGTTTCTCTGTCGTCCAGAAGGTTCTTCTTGGCATTCCCTTTGCCTATAAGATTCACATAAAAGAGATACTTTAATTACTCTTTATAATACGGTTGAAAGATGTGAAAACAAGAAAAAAGCATACATAACAATGAAAAAGCAAACATGGCCAAACTGCCAGATTAACCACTGCCATTCACTATAACACATAAAAGACTAAGTTCAAATATTCACGACAATTCTATTGTTAACTCATGCAAATCACAGATTGTCAGGACTGCAAAGTACCTGGAAATACTGAGGATAGGAACACGGGTACACATATGTTAAAAAAAAATAGAGAAACACACCCCTCTATCTGTGTGTACCATATGTATGTATGTTTGTAGACAATCCATGTGTATTTTCTGTCTACAAAATGAAATCGGTACAGTATGTGAGCATTAACAGAAGGAACGCCCATACACTAATGCTGAAAGTTTAGGGAACAAACAGGGGGAACTTGAAGTATTAGTACATGAAGGCAGATATGATATAGTTGCCATTATTGAAATTTGGTGGGATGAAACTCATGTCTGGAATGTCCTGATAGAGGGATACAAACTATTCAAGAGAAACAAACCTAACAAAAGAGGAGGTGGAGTTGCATTATATATAAAAGTTCACTACATCTCTACAGAAATACACAATACCAAGGATGAAAACCTCCTAGAATCCATATGGGCCAATATAAAAGGAAAGAAAAATGACATTGTTATAGAAATATACTACAGGCCAAGCAACCAAGCGGAAGAAATAGACGAACTCTTTGCTAGTCAATTAACAATTGTATGTAGGAAACATACCACAGTAGTAACAGGAGACTTTAACTACCCTGATACCAACTGGGAGACAAACTCAGCAGCAAGTGGGAGATCGAGCAGATTCCTAACCAACTTAGCTGACAACTTTGTCATCCAAAGGGTAGAGGAGGGAACTAGAGGAAAAACTATACTGGACCTAATTCTTATTAATAGAGAAGAAGTGATAGAAGGAGTTGAAGGTGCTGGAACCTTGGGTGAAAGTGACCACGTCATACTGGAATTCAATACAATGCAAACACAAGCAATAGAATATAATCCAATCAGTGTCTTAAACTTTAGAAGAGCTGATTTTAACAAACTCAGAGAGACAAAATTTCATGGATAAAAATCCTGAAGGGGAAAACAACTCAAGAAAAAAGGGATACACTGAAAAATATGATCAGCCCAGTCCAACACAATACCACTATTGCTCATTCCAATTGACTAAGACAGCTGGCAGGAGCAACAACACACCTAATCGCATCTGGAGCCAGAAACAGCAGAGCTTTCCCCAAATCCACCTGCCACTCAATGTCCTCTTTGTCGCAAGGTTTGTCTTGTTAGATAATAGTCCATCTTGAGTATTAAAGCTGGGGAGAAGCCTAATTTGGCAAGGTTGGACTCGACAGCCTTGATCCATGATGAAGAGAATTTGTCTTGGAGGATTAACGGAGCAAGACGTTGTGGAAAGAAGTTAAGCTTTAGCCAGAGATTTAAGGACGCTATACAGATTCTTGCTTCAACTTTTATCAATCCTGTCTCCAGGCGCAAAAGTGCATTTGAGACACATGGTGTCATCTGGGGAATTCATCTAATGAATTTGGACTGAACTATTTCTAATGATGTAAAATATAAAGCTAGTGACCTGGCCACAAAAAGCTTAATAGCAGCAGGGACACAGTATCCTCCCTTTGTGTGGAAAAAATTAAGAATGGCGCTCGCTGATCTTTGGCCCAAGGCAGCTGCATATTCTCCATGTGCTTTTCTTGAACCTTTGGCCCGAATGACCATCCACAGGTATTTGAAGGTGGTTACCTGCTCTATTTTGTGGCCATTTAGATACCATGAATACAGTTTGGCCTTTTTTATGTCCAGTTTATTGTAATTACAGTACTGGAGAAGGGCTCGCAAGGCTCTTTTAAGGCCTACTGGTGTCCAGGAGAGGATCACAGCGTCATCTGCATAGAGCAGGAAGGCGATGCTTTGGTCGCCTATTTTTTTGGGGGGGATACCAGAGGATTGGAAAAGAGCTAATGTTGTTCCCATTTGCAAAAAAGGGAAAAAACAGACCCAGGAAACTACAGACCAATCAATCTAACATCAATACATGGAAAGATACTGGAAAAAAATAATCAAGAAACAGGTCTGTGAACATCTAGAAATAAATAAAGTTATAACTAGTAGCCAGCATGGGTTTTTTAAAACATATCATGCCAAACCAATCTAATTTCATTTTTTTTAAAATTTGATTTATATGCCGCCCTTCTCCGGAGACTCAGGGCAGCTTACAATGCGTTAAGCAATAGCCTTCATACTTTTGTATATTTATACAAAGTCAGCTTATTGCCCCCACAAACTGGGTCCTCATTGCACCTACCTTAGAAAGGATGGAAGGCTGAGTCAACCTTGAACCTTGGAGAGATTCGAACCAGCAGAAATTGCAGGCAGCTGTGTTAATAACAGGGTGCTTAGACCACTGTACTATCAAGGCTCTTTTTGATAAAGTGACTAAATTAGGAGACCAGCGACAAAATAGACTACAACCTACTTCTTGCTAAGCTAGAAAAATGTGGGGGACACAGCATCACCACCAGATGAATTTGTAACTGGCTTACAAACTACTCAACCAGTAGTCCTTAATGGTACTAAATCTACATGGAGGGAAGTAAGCAAGGTTCTGTCTTAGGCCCAGTACTCTTCAATATCTTCCCAAATAACTTAGATGAGGGAATAGAAGGAAAATTCATCAAATTTGCAGGTGACACTAAACTGGCAGGAACAGCCAGCGCCCCAGAAGACAAGCTCAGGATCCAAAAATATCTTGACAGACTTGAACAATGGGCCCTATCCAGAGGTGGGCTGCACATACGTTAACAACCAGAACGCTGGAAATGTGAACACACTTGCCTCCAGAAGTTGTGGGTGTTTCATCGCTGGAGGTTTATAAAGGAGAGGCTGGACAGTCACTTGCCTGAAATGGTATTATAGGCTCTCCTGCTTGAGAGTCCGGGGCTGGACTAGAAGACCTCCAGGGTCCCTTCCAGCTCTATTCTGATCCTGAGACGGCGAAGCCTCTGCAAGCTTTGAAGCGCCGGTGTTGCCCGTGAACTTCCTCCCTTGCAAGCAGAACAAGAGGATCATAAAAAACACCCGGAATCGGCCCTACAGCGACGGTGTGGTTGGAATCTCCCCAGCAACAGAAACTTGCAGGCAACTTGGAAGGTGAAGCTCTGGGCGGGGGGATAAAATTGGGCGGGTGGGGGGGGGGATGTGCAGGAGGAGACGTATTTCCGCGTAGTTGTTGATCTGCTACTACAACGTGGAGCGAACCGAAGAGCCCGACTTGCTCCCGGCCTCTCCGCCCACCTGCCCTCCACTCACCTTCCAGCCGCCGCTTCGACCCGGGAGAAAGCCCAGCCGCCGCCGCTCCCCCCCCCCGTTGGGAGGCCGGAAGACGAGGTTCCTCGGCGCATCGCCTTTCCATAGTCTCTCTAGCCACCCGCGACTCTATGGTATCAATTCCTTTCTGTTCAGCTACAGGCGCTTTCTACTCTTATTTGCAGGCGCGCTTATGGCCTAACCATAGAGTGTCAGCAATAGCTAGATCATGCGAGCTCTAGCTTCATCAGATTAGCTGGGTGCTTCCTGGCTCCTAAAAGTTCAAGTAGTTCTTGTTTTGGGGCGCAGCCCTAAATAATTAACAGCCTGTCATCTTCATATTATTAATAGAATAATATGGGACAAAACTTGGAAGTGTCTCCCACGTTGTTTCCAATGACATTTAGATAGCAGACACTATCCTCCTCTCTGTCTATTACGCTCCCTGCACACTAGAGCCGCCTTCCCAATTTCCAGATTTACTAAGATTTCAGCCTTGAGAATTCCCAGGCTGCTTGGGCAAAACACCTGGAGGTCACTAGTTTGCAGGCTGGAAGCTGATCTAAAGATTCCTGCATTTTAGCAGGGTTTGCCTGTCACTAGAGATAAAAAACACTCTACATCCTAACATTTTTATTAATGATTCACTTGAGATCCAGTTGTGGCTGTTCCTGCATCTGCAGACCCTGGTTACAGTCAATCATGCCCTAGTTACCTGCATATAGGTAGTCCTTGACTTAGGACCATGACTGAGCCCAACATTTATGTTGCTATGTGAGAGATTAGTTTAAGTGAGTATTCCACAATTTTAAGACTTTTCTTCCCATATTTCTTAAAAAAATGACTGCAGTTGATAAGTCAGTAACTCTAATAAAGCTAAGTGAATCTGTTGTCCCCATTGACTTCGCTTGTCAGAAGATCACAAAAGATGAGCACATGACCCTGGGACAGTGCAACCATCATAAATAGATACATTGCATTGCATTGCATTGCAGCATTGCCTAGAATTCTAGATGATATAATTTTGGAATCACGGAATGTAATCTTTGAAAGTTTATGTAAGAAAAATATGTAGGAGAAATACCAGAGTATTGGAAAAGAACTGATGTGATTCCAAACTACAAAAACGGGGGAAATGATGTAGGAAATTATAGGCCAATCATTTTGACATCAATATCTGGAAAAATCCTGGATAAAATATAATCAAGCAGAGAATGTGTGAGCACCTATAAACAAACAAGGTGATTACTAGAAGCCAGCATGGGTTTGTTATGTAAGGTCCCAAAATATACTTGAGTCACCAGAATGCCAAAGAGAGACTCAAGACGAGGCTTGCAAAAAGCAGATTTTATTTATGGCCAAAAACAAAATACTGGGTGGAACTATATCCAGAACATACAGATACAATGCATGTGAGGAGATAGCCACACCTTGGGGAAGGTATGGTGTCCTTTTATACCCTCAGAGAAGTCAGCTTAGTACCCAATTCTGGCCTCCTAATTTAGGTTTGTGAATTCCTTGTTGCCCTGCAAGGGGGAATAGAAACTTCCCAATTAGTTTTATCTTAAGCATTTCTTTGTTTACTCAATTGGCCACTTAGCTCCCTGGCTCTGGAAGACAGGAGTTTATCCAGATCAAACATAAATTAGGGCTGAGGTGTAAATTATCCCTTTCTTGATGGCTGTAGTTTCAACTGAGATAGGTACCATGCTTTTAGATAGCACAGAAAGAAGATTGATATGAGTTCAGGTCAAATGGCAGGGACATACATTTGACAAATACCAGATACATTACAGAGGTCTAATAACAGAATATGTTTGTTACAGGAGATACAAATATAAAGGCATAATATATGTGATACAAATACAAAGGCATATATGTATTACAGGAACCTAATGGTTACAGAATCTAGTATACCAGTATATCATATTCTAGTATTATTTATTATATCCTTATTATTGTTTCCCTTCAGTTAGAAACAGGTTTTGCCAAAGAAACGTCATTGCCTTTTTTTGATTTAAGCAATTAAATTACCAGAGCAGCAAAATGCTCTGCAGATGGTATACTTGGATTTCAGCAAGCCATTGGACAAATCTTTATGGAAAATGAAAAGTGAAAATGAAGACAGAGGGACTCTGAGCAATTCAGTGCTTGTAGTCAGACATGGAATTTGAAAAAAAAATAATCAAAAATTGGAAAGAATAGAATACAATTCTTTATTGGCCAAGTGTGCTTTGCACATAAGGAAATGGTCTCCGGTGCATACGCTTTCAGTGTATTGATAATTGATAATAAAATTGATAGTCATACATCATAAGGCAATCATAAGTCATAAGATACAATAATTGATCACATAATATACTGATAGGAAAAAGTAGTAGGAAACATGAGAAGGATAAGAAAACAAGGATAATAGACATAAAACCTTTGGGCAGAGGACAGACAGAGGTGGGTTTCAGCAGATTCTGACCAGTTCTAGAGAACCGGTAGCGGAAAGTTTGAGTAGTTCGGAGAACCGGTACTAAAAATTCTGACTGGCCCCACCCCCATCCATTCTCTGCCTCCTGAGTCCCAGCTGATCGGGAGGAAATGGGGATTTTTCAGTAATCTTCCCCTGGAGTGGGGTGGGAATGGAGATATTACAGTATACTTCCCATGCCGGGTTCACCAAGCCACGCCCACTAAGCCACACCCACAGCACCGGTAGTAAAAAATATATATAACCTTTCTTGCCACATTTGATAACTGAATCACTGCAGCTGTTAAATTAGTAACACAGTTGTTAAGTAAATCTGGCTTCCCCATTGATTTGGCTTGTCAGAAGATCACAAAAGGGGATCCCATGACCCCAGGACATTGCAACCATCAGTTGCCAAGCATCTGAATGTTGATGCTGCAATGGTCCTAAGTACGAAAAAGGGTAATAACTCACTTTTTTCAGTGATGTAACTTTGAATGCTCACTAAATGAATGGTTGTAACTATCTTGGAATGGTTACTGTCTCTGCAATAGTACATTCTAACCACTATGCCTCAAGGACTCCTATCTTTCTGTAATATATCAAATTGGATATAATAAGAATGGTTTGATGCCTTAGGAAAATTCTAATTATATATAGTTATATTTAGTTTCTTTCTTTGCTTTCAGAAAACTCTTGTTGAAATTCTAATTCTCATTTACTAATTCATTGATTTTTGCAAGCAAATCGTCTTGTGTCTGAGCATTTCTTCTGGTTGAGTCTCTCATGTCTAAATAAACTTGGCTGATGGTTTTTCTCCTTTATGAGTACTGGGCATCTGAATGGCTTTTGATCTGTGTGTAAACTGACATAATTTATTAGATTAAACCTACTTGTGAAAGCTTTCCCACAATTGGGACATTCAAAGGGCTCCTCTTTTGTAGTTCCCTATTATTCCACCAGGTGGAAGTTCCAACTGAAACTTTTCCCACAATCCAGTAACTCATCCTGTGTGAATCCTCTGGTGCCTCACCAGGTCAGAAATGAACGCTTTCCCACAATTTGGACATTAATATGGTTTCTCTCCTGTGTGAATCATCTGGTGTTTAAGAAGATTAGACTTATTATTGAAACTTTTCCCACAATCTGTACACTCATACTGAGGTAAATAAAAGGTGAATAAAAGAAATAATCATTCCAAGTCAGGTATATAAAGTCAGATCAAATCCTATGAACTCTGAATAAACTTTGAGTGAACTTATCTATTCACATAAGTATACGTGCTGGCTAAAGGCAGCTAGACTCCATTATTGGTAAATATATCTTCAGCTGCCATTCATCAGGAAAGCTAAAAGTAGGGTTCTAGTGAATGACTGACTTGGATAAAGAGAAGAAACTGAGCAATTAGTTCCTGGATGTCCCCATAATTACTTGACCTATGGTCCTGTGTCAAACCCACTGATTCTATACATCTTCTTAATAGAATCAAATGTGAACATCTGGACGGATATACATGGGAGACAGGTTACTTACTGTTTAAAGTATAGCCATAATTTCTGCATTTAAACATTACAGCACTTAAAGGACAGTTGTAAAACATAAAGTGATGGGTTAGTAAAAGTTGTAATAGTTTTATTATGAGTAAATGATGGAGTAGTAAAAATGTGTAGCCAAAATAATTTTATTAAATAGTAGGTAATGGTTTGATAATTAGTAAAGTGTAATGTAAGTGTAATGTATTTTTAATGTAACCATATATGGAAGCCGGAAAGGCTCATAGAACTCTTTGTCTTGAAAACATATTTAAATCGTGAAATCATAATCATTCTTTGTTCAGTTTGCAAGAATCAAACAAAGCACTGAAACTTTGCGCAAATAAATGGATCTGTCTGACCCAGGAATGTGTTTCAGACTCTCATTTTCTACAACAATACAGGTTTCTCCCCAGTGTGAGTTCTCTGGTGTATAACCAAGTAGGAATTACGACTAAAGGTTTTCCCACAATCTGGACACTCATACGGTTTCTCTCCTGTGTGAGTCCTCTGGTGTCTCGCCAGGTCAGAATTCGAACTGAACGCTTTCCCACAATCTGGACACTCATATGGCTTCTCTCCTGTGTGAGTACTTTGGTGTTGCACAAGGTTACAATGTTGATTGAAACTTTTCCCACAAACTGGACACTCATATAGTTTCTCTCCGGTGTGTGTCCTCTTGTGTATCACCAAGTAAGAGTTGAGACTGAAACTTTTCCCACAGTATAGACACACATATGGTTTCTCTCCTGTGTGAGTGCTTTGATGTATCACCAAGTTGGAATTCTTACTGAAACATTTCCCACAATCCGAACATTCATATGGTTTCTCTCCTGTGTGAGTCCTCTGATGTATGACCAGGTTGGAATTCTGTTGGAAACATTTCCCACAATCTGGACACTTATATGGTTTCTCGCCTGTATGAGTCCTCTGGTGGATCACCAGGCAAGAGTTCTGACTGAAGCTTTTCCCACAGTAGAGACACTCATATGGTTTCTCTCCTGTATGAGTCCTCTGGTGTCTCACAAGGTTAGAATTATTATTGAAACTTTTCCCACAATCTGGACACTCATATGGTTTCTCCCCAGTGTGAGTTCTCTGGTGTATAACCAAGTAGGAATTATGACTAAAGCTTTTCCCACAATCTGGACACTCATATGGTTTTTCTCCTGTGTGAGTCCTTTGGTGTATCACCAGGTTGGAATTCTTACTGAAACATTTCCCACAATCCGAACACTCATATGGTTTCTCTCCGGTGTGTGTCCTCTTGTGTATCAGCAGGTTGGCATGCTTACTAAACTTTTTGCTAAACTGTGGGGACTCGTAGGGCTTTTCTTCAGTATGGGTTATTTTATGCTCAGTAAGTTGGGAAGTGTAGCGAAAGACTTTGCCACATTCAGAGCATTTGTATGGTTTTTCACCAGTGTGATGCATAATCAGCTCTGATTTGCAATCTGTGTTTTTCCCGCCATATGCATATCTGTGGAGCTTTTCGGCCACTGATACTCTTAGATTCTTGAGGAGGTCAAAAATATTTGTGATCTCTTCTTGAATGGTTCAAGCTGTTTGTTTTCTCACAGGGTAAGGCCTGCATTATTGTCTGGAATGAGTGCTTCCTCCTCACAGACTTCTAGATATTTCCTCTTTTTCTGAATCTGGAAATGTTCCACGTTTATTTTTTTATATACTGATTCCTTGAGTTCCACATACAATAATTGTTTATCAGTGTAAAACTCTTCCTATTTTTTTTCTCTCTTGTCTCTTACTGGCTGAGGAAAGAGAAGGGTTTTGTGGTATTCTGGAGGAAAGGGAAAAGACGTTTACCAGATGTTTCAGATTCGCTTTCCTTTTTAAAGCTGCTTCTGATTCTTTGCCATCCAGAAGGCTCCTCTTGGCATTTCCTTTGCTCATAAGATTCACATAAAAGAGATATTTTAATTACTCTTTATAATATGGTTGCAAGATGTGAAAACAAGAAAAATAATCATACATAACAATGAAAAAGGAAACATGTGAAAATGCTAGATTAACCACTGCCATTCATTATGACACATAAAAGACCAAGTTCAAATATTCACAACAATTCTATTGTTCACTCATGCAAATCACAGATTTTTAGCACTGCAAATTTTTATGATCATACATTCCAGCGCTCTATATACTGTAACCAGGTGGCTGGGGGGGCGAGGGGGGAGGGGAAGGGGGATCATAAAGGAATAGGGTGCGGTGGCTGCCTTCCAAGCAGCTTTGCTGCGAAGGGAGGCAGGAAAGTTTGGCCAAGTTATCTCCTCCTTCTCGGCCTCAAACGTACACACAGAGCAAACACACACATACCTCATGACGTTGGGACCTTCTGCGAGGAGATGGCACGTGGGTGAGTCCCTCTGGTGCCATGAGATGTGTGTCTGTTTGCTCTGTGTGTACATTTAAGGCCGAGAAGGAGGAGACAACTCGCCCAAACTTTTCTGCCTCCCTTCGCAGCAGAGCTGCCTGGAAAGCAGCTGCTGCAGCCTGTCCCTTTATGATGCCCCCCCTCCTGCCACCTCCTTACAGAAGGTCCCGGTGCTGTGAGATGTGTGCGTGTGTGCTGTGTAGGAGCGATCCTTCTTAACAAGTTCCAAACTGTTGCTGCAAACCTGGGTTCCTCGCACAAGTGGTGGAAGTCCAGTACTCCAGCAAACTCATCTCTGTTTCCTCTATGACCCACCTTAGAAAAGCTTGCCCTCACAATCGCATGCCAGCAGCCAGAGCTGGGCTTGTGGCAGCAGCAACAGTTAGGAGCTTGTTATGAAGGATCGCTGTTCCACCCCAGCCATGCGTTTTCCAGTCAGGGCTGCTTGGAGTGAAAAGCATGCAATATGCTGCCACTCCCGGGATTCCCTGAACGAGCGCTGGAAGAAAATTGGCCAATGTTCAGCTGCAGACAGAGTCAGGTTTGGAAGAGCAGCAGACGGACCCAGGAAAAAGTACAACAGCCATCGCTATCATCCATTAGGAAGCTGGAAGACAAGGTTTCTCAGTGCTTTGCCTTTCCATATTCTCCCTAGCAATCCCCGACTCTATGGTCTCAATTCCTTTCAGTTCAGCTACAGGCGCTTGCTACTGTATTTGCAACTATCCAGGCACATTTATGGCCTAACCATAGAGCGCCATCGAGCCAACAATAGCTAGCTCGTCCCAGCTCTAGCTTCATCAGTTTAGCTGGGTGCTTCCTGGCTCCTAAAAGTTCATGAAGTTCTTGTTTTGGGGCACAGCCCTAAATGATTAACAGCCTGCCATCTTCATCTTATTAATACAATAATACGGGACAAAACTTGAAAGTGTCTCCCACATTGTTTCCAATGACATTTAGATAGGAGATACTCTCTTGTCTATTATGCTCTCTGCTCACTAGAGCAGCCTTCCCAATTTCTATTTCAGCCTTGAGAATTCCTAGGCTGCTTGGGCAAAATACTTGGAGGTCACTAGTTTGCAGGCTGGAAGCTGATCTAAAGATTCCTGCATTTTAACAGGGTTTGGCTGTCACTGGAAATCAAAAATTGTCTACATCCTAACATTTTTATTACTGATTCACTTGAGCGCCAGTTGTGGCTGTTCCTGAAACTGCAGACCCTGGCTATGAACAATCATGCCCTAGTTACCTGCATATGGGATGACTTCAATAAACTCTGCATGAGCTGCCCTTGAGTTTTAGGTGGTAGAGCATGCAGTGGCCGGATAAGCTATGTGTGTTTCTGAAGTAGCACATGTCATAGTCTTACCTCTGCTCCGAAAACTGCCTTGGTTGCCAGTTTGCTTGCGGCTCCAGTTCAAGGTGCTGATTTTGCCTTTGAAAGCCCTTATTGGCATGGAATTGAGTTGAAGTACTGCCTTTCCCTGCTTATTTCAGCCTGTCCAATGATACCTGGCAAAGAAGTAATTATAATTAGAAATACAAACTTACTTCTTACTCTATTACCTGCGGTTTTTTTATAATCACAACTGTAAATGATAACTTCAATTTTTTTTCTCTTTCATGCAAATCTCTAACAAACTTCCAATCAGTAATGAATGTAGAGAATGTCTTTTCTCCAATTGAGGAAATCAATATAGTTGTCTCAGAAAATTCCATCATCTTCACCAACCATTCTTCTATTGTTGTTAAAGTTGAATACTTGGTATACATAATACAGTTAATCTTAGACAATAGGGATCAAAATTTTTAACCTAGGACAGGGGTCCCCAAACACCGGGCTGCACAAGTGGCTGGCAAGCGTGCATATATGCATGCACTTCCACTTGCACGAGAGTCCTGTGTGAGTTCTCTGGTGAATCACCAGGAAAACAACATGTCCATAAAAAGAATCAACATGCCATAAAAGGAATCAAGTGTTACGTGAAGGTGAGGGAGATGCGTGGTTAAAAAATATGAAATATATATAAAGATTTCTTTAAATTTACCAATTTACCCCCATTGGAAAAATCACAGCCACCAATTTGAAATCATGCAGCAAAAGGATGAAAACATTTGGGGAGAGAAAGAACACGAAGCAGCAGCAGCAGCAGACAAGTGTTTCAGCCTCGTTGCTTCCTCCGCTTCATACCCCGTGGAGGAAACCAAAGGGCCCGACTTCCTCCCGGCTTCTCCTCCGACCTTCCCTCCACTCACCTCCCAGGAGCCGCTTCCACCCTCCAAGCAGCACAAGGAACCATTATCCTCCCGTGGGTCAGCTGGAAGAGGAAGCCCCTCTGCCCTTCGCCTCCTCTCCTCCATATCCGCTCTAGCAATCCACTGTTCTATCGTTTCAACGCCTTCCAGCTCAAGCCTCTTACCCCCCCACCGCCCATTAGACTAGCAATGACACTACTGTAATGTATTCACTGCTTTCTAGGCACGAGTATTGCTTCTCTGTAGAGCGCCATCTAGTGACATAAGGCTGAAAAACACGCTCGTTCCATTTCGTTTGCAAGATGTTTTCATGGGTTCCGCGCTTCCTTCTGTGCCATCAAGTCGTATCCGACTCCCCCCGAGCACGTCGATAGCTTTTCTCTATGGGCATCTATCCCACGCCTTTTCTTTCAGGTGCCCCAGGAGTGCACTCCTCCCCCCTGGAGCTGAGCCCGAAGCTTCGTTTGCAATAAGCAGCAACTAAACCAAAGGAAGGTGCCCTTGTGGGGAACGACCTGCAAACAGGGACCGAGAAAGTGCACCTCCTGTGGGGCCGGGTGAAGATTCTTCCAGCCAGTTTTTCGATTGGCAAATCTGCAGCCCTAAATCATTTCCAGCTTCATCCTATTAATAGAATAATGAAATATGAGACAAAATCTTGAAATGCCCACCCACATTGCTTCTAAACCAGATCTAGGTAGAAGATAATATCTTCCTATCTAGAGCAGAGCAGAGCAGAGCAGGATGGAATTTGTCTTTGGTCCATATGCTCTCAGTGTACATAAAAGGACAAGATATATTCATCAAGAATCATAAGGTACAACACTGAATGATAGTCATAGGGTATAATATAGGGCAGTGATGGCAAACCTTTTTCTCATTGAGTGCCAGAAGTGTGTGTGTGCCAGCACCCATAATCCAATGCGAACGCCCCCACCCCCACATGCGCACACGACCCCCTGCTTTCCCCCGTGCATGTGCCTCACATTGCATATGCGTGCCCCTGCACATGCGCTCCGCCCCCCCTTCCCTATTTTGGACCTAGAAAGTCGTTATTCTGAGGCAGGGCTGTTTCTGAGGCAGGGCAACCGATTCTTGCTGTGTCTATGCGATGGCCTTTCTGGTGTGCTGGCGAGGCTGTGTAGTTACCACAGCGGCTTGTAAAGCTTGGGATGAGCCTGTGGGCTGCCAGGTCCAGAGCCGGCAGCAGCTTCTTCCTGTCACTCAGCCCTAGCCTTGGGGTGACTTTTTCTGCATTCAGCCCTGAAGTGTAGCAGAGTCTTCTACTCTACATGTGCTCAGAGGCAGTCTGCAGTCCTCTGGATCCAAGTCTTGGCGTTGGAAGAAAAGGAAATTTCTGAAAGGAGCAGATTGATCGGGGGCAAGGGGGCAGCTGTGGTAAGGATGGGCAAGGTGGGCCGGGTTGGCTTCCATGTCTCCCCACCTGAGCGGGCTTCTGGCATAGCCCCAGGCCTCTGGGGGGAGGGAGGTAGGGAAGCCCTGGCTTGCTGCTCCTGCCACCGCCACCCCTTCACCGCTGGCAACAGCGGTTCTCGTGCTGCCGCTTCCCTGGCAGCACCAGGGGCAGATGGCGGGGCAGAGGGCGGTGGCGGCAGGCCGTTTGAGTAGCTAAGAGACAGAGGCTGCTCTTGGACCAGACAGGAAAAGAAGCCACTGGCAGGGAGGCGAGCTGCCCCAGGAGGACCGGAGGAGACCGCAGCTCCTCACTCATGGAGACCCACTGGCAGAGAAGCGGTTACAGTAAGTGGTAAGAGCCGTGCCGGCCAGGAAGCGGTCATGCTCCCTGGCGGGAGAGGGTTGCACCAACCTTTACTGGCGCGAACGGCCTGCCTGCCTCACGCTCCAGCCAGCCATGCTGGATGCTGCCTGGAGTGCGAGGCGGGCAGGCCGTTCGTGCCAGCAAAGGTTGGTGCAACCTTCTTCCACCAGAGAACATGACTGCTTCCTGGCCGGCACACCTCTTACTACTTACTTACATGACTGTTCCCCCGCCGGTGGGTCTCCATGTGTGAGGAGCCTCCAGTCCTCCTGGGCCAGCTTGCCTCCCCGCTGGCAGCTTCTCCTTCTCGTGGCTGCTCCAGGAGCAGCCTCTATCTCTTAGCCAGTGCGAACGGCCTGCCGCCACAGCCTGCCACCGCCCTCTCTACCCCGCCAGCTGCTTCTGGTGCTGCCAGGGTAGCGGCAGCATGAGAACCACTGTTGCCGGGGGTGTGGGGATGGCAGTGCCAGGAGTAGCGGGCCGGGGCTTCAATCCCTCCCCCTGGAGGCCTGAGGCTGCACCAGAAGCCTGCTCGGGTGGGGAGGCAGGAAAGCCCCAAACAGCCCATCGTTGCCGTCACCCCCTCGCCCCGGCGGTGGTTCTCATGCTGCCACTTCCCTGGTAGTGGCTGGAGCAGCTGGTGGGAGAGAGAGGGCGGTGGCAGGCAGTGGCAGCAGGCTGTTTGCACCGGCTAAGAGGCAGTGGTTGCGGCTCCTGCAAGCCTCGTGCTCCAGGCAGCATCCAGCCAGCCATACCTGGCCTGTCCCTGCAGCAGCCCACATGGATCCCAGGCAGCACAGCTTTGGGGTCTTTCCTCGTAGTGGCGGTGGCGGGGACAATGCAGGCAGGCAGGCAGCCGGGCGCAGGAGAGCGACTGGCCGCAGAGCTCCTGGCTGGCAAGGGATGGATGTGCTTGGGCTGCATGCGGGTGACGACAGCATGGCCAGTGCCCCCCAACGTTAAGACATTAAGGCCAGCTGATCATCGCACGCGTATGTGCACCAGTAACCAGCAGACTAGCTGGCTGGTGCACATACGTGCCCTGGAAATCCGGAAAACGAATGGGCAATGCCACGCGTGCTTGGCGACATGGTTCTGTGTGCCACTTCTGGCATGCATACCATAGGTTCACAATCACGGGTATAGGGTATAACACAATGAAAGTCATAGTATATTATTAGTATTAGTATTAGCATTAGCATAGGCCAATCATTTTGACATCAATATCTGGAAAAATCCTGGAAAAAATATAATCAAGCAGAGAATGTGTGAGCACCAGAAACAAGCAAGGTGATTACTAGAAGCCAGCATGGGTTTGTTAGAAACAGGTTTTGCCAAACAAACCTCATTGCCTTTTTTTGATTGAAGCAATTAAATTACCAGATCAGCAAGTGCTGTGCAGATGGTATACTTGGATTTCAGCAAGTCATTGGACAAATCTTTATGGAAAACGAAATGTGTAAAAATGGAGGCAGAGAGACTCAGAGCAATTCAGTAATCAAAAATTGGAAAGAATAGAATACAATTCTTTATTGGCCAAGTGTGCTTTGGGCACACAAGGAAATGGTCTCTGCTGCACACGCTTCAGTGTACATACAAAGTGATAGTCATACATCGTAAGGGAATCATAAATCATAAGATAAAATAATTGATCACATAATATACTGGTAGGAGAAGGTAGTAGGAAACTTGAGGATAAGAAGAGGATGATAATAATACCATACAGCCTACCACATGGGTAAATATCTTTTGGCAGAAGGCAGTGGTGTTGGAGTTGGCTGTTTAGTAGAATGGTGGCACGGGGGAAGAAACTATTTTTGTCTAGTTGTTTTGGCAACCTGAGGGGAAGATGTTGAAATGGAATAACCAGTTTATTGAAGTGCACAGTAGACCAGAACACCCAGTGACAGTTGATTGGTTGAAGAGTGTGGGCTCCCGCATGAGGCAGTCTACCTTATGATTGGTTGCTGAGTGTAAAGGGGCCTTACCCTTTTTTTCCTCGCCTTTTTCTTCTGTGTGCTCTGTATGCTGTTCTGAGATTTACCTGACGATTTACCTCAGGATGTAGTGATGTCCCTACCTCGTTTGCTCTAAATATAGATACTAACTAGATTTATATAAAACTACTGTCAGCATCTCTGTCTTAATTTGGACACCAGCTGCATAATTCCCTGATACCAACCAACCCGGCTATTGGGCAGACTCCAGTCTCTGTTTCCCAAAATGCAGGGCTTGCAGTTATTAGAGCTCCCAAATCTATCAATTGACCCGGAATTATTTTATCTTCTTCTTTGTTGTTTAATGACCCCGTAATGGGTACCTTGAGATGGGGAGTCAGGAAAACTGAATGGAGCTGACTGTTTACTGAGCAGATGCCCTTCCTGTCACCAATGCAGAGTTTGCCGCAGATATAGTCTCATTTGGACAGAAGAAATAAATATCTACCTAGGATCGAACTCACAGCCTCCTGATGGTGAAGTGAGAGCTCCACCGCACAACTCACCTGGAATTCTTTCATCTTTTTTCATATTTCACAGGAAAACCCATTCTCACTTTGGAAAGCCAGATAGAGATCTTTTATTTCTATGACTTGAAGGAGGTACATTATACAGAATCGAGAACCAGGATGGTGTGATTTGACTTACATGAAGGAGATTCAATTCTGAACTGCGGGTCCATATTTTAGCGAGTAGGACTTACCTTTCTCTCTCTTTTGACAAAAGTGTTAGCGGGGAATGAAAAAAAGAAGTACGATATATGACTCAAATTGTTCCAGAAAATAAACTATACAAAGTTCAAGGAATCTGGAAGATGAGCAAATGCAAAACAAACCAATTGAAATATTTCACGTGTAGGTGAGAAAACCCTGCAGAACACTTAAAAATTATACTGTAGTGGAACAGACAATATTATTTAGACCTTTCTTTGTGGAAATTTCTAGAAATATTTAAAATATGCTCATTAAAAAGCACCCATTTCCATATATTATTATTTATTTATATTTTACATGAAATGAAGGCATTGAAGCCTACTGTATAATATAGTCGAACAACCAAAGAACCACAAAATAATACTTAATGTGCATCTGTCTGTCTGCATCCTAAGTATATTCACATTTATTTACTAATTAAATTAGTATGTCATCCATCTCACTAACTCACATGCCAT